CACTGTAGCAGTGCGCCACCAGGCCGGCCCTCACATTATCTTTTAATTCCCAAAATTTTTGAATTACTCTCATATAAGTTGGTAAATGTTTGTTGAATGACTTGGTAGTTGAAAGAAAAACAAAAGTCTACCTCTGCATTTTATTTACCCTTGATCTTGTTCCATTTATCTCTCTGCATTCCTTTAGATAACCTAATGCTAAGAGGCTGGCCCGTGGCTCACTTGGGAGAGCGTGATGCTGACAACACGAAGTCAAGGGTTAAGATCCCCTTACCGGTCATCTTTAAAAAATAAAAAATAAAAAAAAATAAGTAAATAAATAAATAACCTAATCCTAAAAAACAAAATTAAAAAAACCCTCTTATTCAACTTAAACGATGTTTCCCGAGACCTTCATACATGCTATTCCATCTACCTAGAATGCTCTTGTCCACTATATCCACTCAAGTATCTCCTACTCCTCATTTAAGAATGAGCAGAGGGCTGGCCAATTAGCTCAGCTGGCTAGAGTGTGGTGCTGATAACACCAGGGTCCAGGGTTTGATCCCTGTACCAGCCAGCTGCAAAAAACAAACAAACAAAAAGAGCGAGTAGAAATTTATCATCAGAGGGAACAAAAATAAACCGCAATGATATTACCACACATTCATCAGATCAGCAAAATTAAAGCACCTGATAATACAAAGTATTGGTGAGGACGTGAAGGAAAGAGAACTCTCATTCAGTGCTGGTAGGAGAGTAAACTAGTACAGCCACTTTAGAAAAACAGTTTGGCAGTACAGTAGGTAGAAAAATGTCCCCACAAAGATGTCCAGACTTAATCCCTGAAACCTATGAATGTTACCTTGAATGGCAAAAAGGATTTTGCGGATGTGATAAAAGGATTTTGAGATGAGGAGATTGTCCTGGATTATTTGAGTGGGACTTAAATGCAATCACATGTATCTTTATGAGGGAGGTAGATGAAGATGTGACACAGGCAGAACAGAAGGCAATGTGACCACAGACACAGATTGGAATGATGCCCCCAAAAGCCAAGGGATGCTGGCTGCCACCAGAAGCTGGAAGAGGCAAGGAATGGACTCTCCCCTAGAGCCTCAGGAGGGAGCATGGCCCTGCTGACACCTTGATTTCAGTCCAGCGAAACTCATTTTAGATTTCTGGCCTCCAGAACTGTGAGAGAATAAATTTCTGTTGCGTTAAACCACCATGTTTGTGGTAATTGGTTATAGCAGTTATAGGAAATGATATAGACAGTACCTACTAAACCTGAGCATATTCTGCTTCTAGGTGTATCCCATCAGAGGGCTGGCCTGGTGGTGCACTCGGTTGAGTGCGGCACTTGGGAGCGTGGCGGCGCTCCCACTGAGGGTTCGGATCCCATATAGAGACCGGTCCGCTCACTGGTTGAGCACAGTGCAGGTGCGACACCAAGGGTTGCGATTCCGTTGCCGGTCGCAGTACAGGCGTGGCACTGAGGGTTGTGATCCCGTTACAGGTCACAAAAAAGGACAAAAAGGAAAAAAAAAAAGAAATATAAGCATTTGGTCACCAAAAAATATGCACAAGAATGTTCACAACAGCATTATTCATAAAAGCCCCAAACTGGAAACAACCCAAATGTCTGTCAACAGTTCAATGTACAAACTAATTGTGGTATATTCATATAATGAAATACCATACATCAAGAAAAATGAGTCAACTACAGATAAGCACAACATGGAAGATTCTTACAAACAGAACACTGAAGCAAAAGAAACCAGACACAACAGGAGTCATACCATATGACTCCATTTAATTAAGTTCAAGAAGAAACAAAATTAGTCATGCACCATAAAACATTTTGGTCAATGTCAGACTGTATATACAACAGTGGTCCCATAAGACTGTAATGCCTATACCATTATAGCCTAGGTGTGTAGTAGGCTATACCATATAGATTTGTGTAAGTACACTCTATGACGCTCATATAATAATGAAATTGCCTAATGACGCATTTTTCAGAATGTATCCCCAACTTTATGCAATGCATATCATTAAGTAATGAAAAACCAGAAAGTTAGGGCCAGCCCATGGCTCACTTGGGAGAGCGTGGTGCTGACAACACCAAGTCAAGGGTTAAGATCCCCTTACCGGTCATCTTTTTTAAAATAAGAAAAACCAAAAAGTTAAAGAAAAGCGAGGAATTAATTACTATAAAAGTCAGGATGGGGGCGGAGCCCGTGGCACACTCGGGAGAGTGCGGCACTGGGAGCACAGTAGCGCTCCCGCCGCGGGTTCGGATCCTATATAGGGATGGCCATGCACTGTGCACTCACTGGCTGAGCACGGTGCGGCCGGTCTCAAAAAGGACAAAAAAAAAAAAAAAGTCAGGATGGTGTTTTTAGCTAGGGGAAAGGGGATGGGGGTTGTGATCAGGAAGACACAAATGGTGGACAAGGGGACTCCTGGGGTGCTGGTAATGATTTTCTTGGCACAGATGGCTCAGGTGTTCTCTGGTAACATTAACTGTACATTTGTCTTATATAATCTTCTGAATGTTATATTTCACAACGAAAATGTATATTAGTGGTGGTGATGGTGGTAATTTTTAATAAAATGAACAGGGAGCTTCCCCATCCCTAATGCCCTCCTAGGTCCCTCCATTCAGTGTCCTCTGGGCTCCTCCAGCCTTTGCCATTTGCTCAGTCATGGCTCTGACCACTCTGGGCTGTGACCCATTGTGTCCCAGTCTACCTCACCCACCAGAACAGGAGCTCTCCAGAGCCAGTGTCCAGGCTGGAGTCTTGTCAGGGTGCCCAGCAGAGCCCAGCTCAGGGCCTGGCACACGGGAGGCCTTGTGAAACATGTGCTGCCATGCCCCAGGCACACTGGGCCTGCCTCATGTTACCACCTTATCTTGTAACTGTCAGGGTCCCTGTCTGTCTCTCTGCCGGTTCCTGCTCCCCACACTTAAGAACATGGTAGCAAATGACCGCGGACCAAATGAGGGGCTGGCTGGCTCTGCATTTCCAATTAACTTCGACTCCATCCATCCGTCTTTCTACACCCCATTCAAGAATGTTCCAAAGCCTTCACAAAGGCTGTTCTGTCTGGAATACCTCCTGTCCTTATGTTGAACTCCTATTCATCCTCCAAGGGCCAGTCCCAGGCTTTTCTCCTCTGTCGAACCATGGCCCACCTTCCTCTGAGTTCCACAGGCCCCTGTGCCCTGACCCACAGAATCCTGTTTCTCGACCTCTGAGGCTTTTTTATCTCCCTGGGGTATCCCCATGGCCTGGGTCATCCCCATGGCCTGGGTCTGACCCACTTCTGGGCCTGGAAGGTCTGTTCGGCTCCCCCAGCGGCCCTCGCACACCCGGACGAGCTTAGGCGAGCTCCACAGCTCACGCGCTCAGGGACGCTCAGGAGGCGCGAGATTGCCTCGTGGTTCCCGCCAACGCCAAGCACCGCGCCTGCGGGCTCCCTCAGCCTCGGGGTTCCGTACTTAATGCACGGAGCGCACGCGCGGGCGAGAGGTGGGTCGGGGCTGAAAAGGGTGCGGGAGCAGACGGAAGAAGGGGGCGGGGCCTGTCGCGTGGAACGGGAGCAGGGGGCGGGGCCTGAAGCATGTCCAGCCAGGAGGCGGGACCGCCACCCATGAGGAAAGAGACAAGCCTCAGGGATCCAGGGAGAGAGAGGTGGACCCTGGAATTTAGCCCAGTAGTTAGAAGCGCCCACCTGCAAACACAGGTAAACCCCAAGTAGAGAAGAGCCTCAAATCTTAGGTCATGAAAACAAATCCTATCGCAGGCCAAGGAGAGCCCCCAGCTCCAGTGAAGGGTGGGAGTAAGAAAGTAAAAGCCCCACCGCACTCCCCAACCTAACTGCTGTCACTAGGGTAGAGATACTCTCCTCAGTTCTTCTGTGTCCCTCAGGCAAGCCACTTCCCCTCTGAGATCATTTCCTATCAAAAATGGGGATAAAATCCACACAGAGTGGCTAAGTATTAAACAGATCTTGAGTAGGTGCCAAGTAGAACTTGAGAGCTCCCATAAAGAGCATAAAGACCGGGTGTGGGATCACAGCAGCTGGCTGGACCAGGCTTTGGCTTGTGGACAGGACTCAACTCCTAGACTTGCCACTACATCCATGTACATCAACACAGGTCAGGGTAGGGCCGGCCCATGGCTCACTCGGGAGAGTGTGGTGCTGATAACACCAAGGCTACGGGTTCGGATCCCATATAGGGATGGCCGGTTAGCTCACTTCGGAGAGCGTGGTTCTGACAACACCAAGTCAAGGGTTGAGATTCCCTTACTAGTCATCTTTAAAAAAACCAAAAAGAAACACACAGGTCAGGAATCCAGGACAGGTTCCAAGGTGTGGGCAGGTGCACGTTTTCCCCCAGGAAAGGCAGGCCCTTGGGAATCCCTGCCCACCCTACACCCAACTCCGCAGCCCAACTTACCCCTCAGGAAGGAAAACATGAGTATTGCATAAGAAACTTGAGTTCCTGAGCCTTTACACCGGGGTTGGGGAAAGGGCAAAAGAGGCAACAATCTCAGCTGTAGCCGCAGAACAGCAGGAAGAAGTGTTGGGCGAACAGAGACCCAGGTTAAGAGAAGGTGAATGTCCAGAGGGTACGCGGGCTGGGGAATCATGTGGAGAGAAATTCCAGGATAGCAAACCCTTAGCTGCCTATCTTTCAGTTCCCAAACCTTGGGGCTCCATCAACCTTGGGGGTGGCTGGCCCACCTCACTGAACAAGTTAAAAATCCTGAGACACCCCCACCCACCCACACAGGAGGATATACAAGAACAAAGCATGTGTGAACAGGGTTGGCTAAGTTTATGACTCCAAGGCAGTATTTTGTCCTTTGACAGATGAAAAAAGTGAGGCCCCAAAAGAGCAAGCATATGATAGTAGCTGGCAGATGATCCAGCATCCTGCCTACCCTCCAACCCCTAACACTGAGCCAAGAATACCCCTTCCCCTACCAACAGAGTTCTAGAAAGCCTTGATGTCCACCTATGCCCCTTCCAGGGCAGTTTTATTGGTGCCATTTATAAAAGGTCTTTCCCATCAGCTCCCAAGCCCTTGCCTTTCCTTTCCAAAAAGGCAGTTGTTTTCTGGTCCTGGCCCCATAAGCAACAATAAGCCTTGGTCTATGCTGCCACAACACCCACGTGTGATACTCAGTCCAGGTGCAAGTCTTCATCCAGCTCTGGGGAGGAGGGGAAAGTGAAGAGAGCCAGATTTGTGTTTGGAAGCTGCGCAGAGCCCTGGCTGGCTAGAGATATGTTGGTAAGGTGAGCAGGCCCCATGTGTACCCCAGCTCCAGTGCCCACTGGCGTGGCTGAAGCCCAGGTTGGGGGTGGTAAAATTGGAGATCCTGAGAGAGAAGCCTTTAGGCCAAAGAAGTGTGTGGAAGAGGCCAGAGCAGGGGCTCAGAGGAGATTTCAGAGGGGGTAGTATGTGGGTGAGCGTGCACTACCATGCACGCAGACAGTCCAGATTCAGGGACAGGATGTGCAGGGGGCCTTTGGTAAGTGCATGGTTATGCCCCCTTCCCTTTGGGGATCTGCATGAGCTGCTGGCCTCCTAAGGCTGAGGAAACACATCTGGGGGTGGGGGGAAGAACTTGGGAAGGAAACTCAGCTGGAAGTGGTTTAGGCCCCAGAGCCCACATCCTGTGGGAGGGGCTGTCAAGTGGCCCACCGTCCTGTTGCAGTCCTCAGAGCTGTTGCAGTAACAGTCCTCTAGGAGCAGAGATGGTCATCCTCCAGGGGAGAAGATAGCTCGGAGACTCAGTGGTGGGGTCAGTCCTGCCAGATCCAGGATCAGGAGGCCTCCGTCGGGTGCTGCCCCCCCCCCTCCTCCATCAGTAACAGGCGGCGCCGGCCAGCCTCATAGTCAGCCTCATCCACACTGACCAGCAGGCGGACAGCCTCCCGGCCCACAGCCTCACGCAGGGCCTCAGTCAGGAACACACCCCGCAGGGCCTGCAGTAGGGCACCACTCAGGTAGTCACCCCAGAAGGCGTCCAGATAGGAGAGCTCTGAGAACTTGATGTCACACACCACAGAGCCCAGGTCCCTTGAGCGCAGCACTGCCGTGGCCTGCCCAAACACGTCCAGCTGCCGAGCCAGTGCCTGGGGCCGCCGGGAGGCCACACCCTGCTCCAAGGCTGGCCCATGCTCACAGTACTCTGCTCGAACCCGGAGCCGGATGTCTGCAGGGAAAGGAGGGACTTGTCAACATATAGATCAGGGGGACTGCCACTTTTCCTCCCTCCAGGGTCCTCCTGCTGCCCCCTTCCGGTAACCACACCCAAGTACAATGACATCATGACACAGCCTCCGCAGCTCCTGTGGGGTCCAGTCTCTATTACCTCCCTGACCTCAAGTCCTCCTCTCCAGCCTCACCACCTCCTCGCTGCTTTCCCAATCACCAGGCAGGCTCCACCTCAGCCCTGCCTCTCCCTGGCCAGGGGTGCTCTTTTCCCAGATCTCCAAGGGTCTTGCTCCCTCACTTCCTGCAGGTCTTTGCCCAAATGCCACCTTCCCAATTAGGCCCACCTGAACCAACCTATTTACAACTCCACCCACCACTCCTCCTGCAGCATTCCCAGTTCCCTATACCCTGCTTTATTTTTTCCCAAGGCTCTATATCACCCTCTATACCATGATTACTATGGTATCTGTCTTCTCCCAGTAGAAGCTCCCTGAAGAAGGGATTTTTGTGTTTTGTCCACTTGTATACCCTGTGGCACACAGTAGGTGCTCAATAAATATTTGTGAAAGAAACAACACATGAACTAATGGACTTGTCTTTTTTTTTTTTTTTTTTTTTTTAAAAAGATGACCGGTAAGGGGATCTTAACCCTTGACTTGGTGCTGCCAGCACCACGCCCAGCCAGTGAGCGAACCGGCCATCCCCATATGGGATCCGAACCCGGGGCCTTGGTGTTATCAGCACCGCACTCTCCCGAGTGAGCCACCGGGCCGGCCCTAATGGACTTGTCTTTAGGCAACCAGCCTCATGCCCCTACCCCATGCCCTATCTTCAAACAGTAAGATCCATGTGGGCCCAACCACATCCCCATCCCTCTCATCCACCCTAGCAAGCACCAAGGAGGCAAACGGGCCCACCAGGCCCAGGAAACTCGAGGCTCAAACTGTGCTGGCTCTACTGGGAATCAAGTGCGCTCTTTCCACAGAAGCTGCTAAGATGGTGGGCTATAAGCCCAGAGCTGCTGGGGGCCACTGTGCTATCAAGTGAGGAGAGAATGAAGCCTACACAGGGCCAACAATAGAGAAAGATTTCTGAGTTCATCATGTAAACCCAGGATCACAATGCGCTTGGATTTTCAGCTACAGTCAATTCTCATTTTGGCTTAAGCCAGTTTGAGTTGGGTTTCTGTCACTTATAACTCTACCCAAATCTGCCCAAATGGGGCGACAGTTCTGTACAGGGGACAGGACACAAGATTGCTGAGACTACCCCTGTAAATGTGAACTTGGACATATAACCTGGGATTTCTGAATTCCCACCAGTGAAATGGGGCTAGTAACAGTAGCACCTCTCCACAACCAAACACAAGGCTGTCCTGAGGGTCACCTGTAAGCTGGAGATAACAGCAGCCAACACTTCCAGAGCACTGACTGTCAGGCACTACTCCAAATGCTTGAATCACATGAACTCATTTAATCCACAAACCACACTGTGAGGCAAGCCCTATTATCACCCCCAATTTACAAATAAGGAAATGGAAGCCAAGAGAAGTAAGCTGACTTGCCCAAGGCCACATGGCACGGAGGTTAGCAGTCATTTAACCTCCCATGCCCCAAAGAGCAGCCTTCTGAGTTGACAGAGCTGATTCTAATCCAGGAGGCTTCAGGCAGTAGCTATGTGACCTGGGACAAGTCACAACCTCTCTGATTATGGATTTCTGCCTAAACAAGGGGACAACACCTGCCATAAAGATCTGTTGAGAGAATTAAAAAGAGAGCAATGGTTAGAAAGAGGCTAGCACTGTGCACAATGGGCACCCCAAGAATGGCAGCTGCCAACAGCTCTAATGTGCCAAGTGCTTGATCCTTGGAAGTTCAGCAGAATCACTTCTGAGGGACAGAGGCCACATTCAGCCCATTTGATAGATGAAGAAACCAAAGCTCTGGGAGGGGAAGTCTCATGCTGTAGGTTCCCTTCACCTTCCACAGACTGTGTCAGCAACAGAGTTGAAAGTGGAACGCAGATGCCCTGCTCCTCCAGATGACTTCTCAGCCCCACCTACTTCCTCCTCCCACCCAAAACCCTTCCTCTTTCTGCCTCAAGGAAAACCCCATTCTATCTACTCAAGGCCCAAGGAAGCCTGCCTGGCCTCAGCCCCCAGGTCCTCCCACAGCACTCAGACCCAGCTCCCTCCATCCTGAGGACCAAATAAGCCCTCTGGGCCCACATGCTTGACTCCTGTGTCTGGTCAGGCCCTTGATCAATATGGGCAGGGGAGCAGGAGGCTGGGAGGAGTAGCACCTGTCCAAGGCCACACAGGCTGGCCAGCAGAGGCAGAGCCAGAGTAGAGGCAGAGTCCCACAGACCTTGAGGTGAATCCCAGCTCTGCTACTCTCTAGCTGTGAGGCCTTGGGCATGTGACCTCACCTCTCTGAGCCTGTTTCCCCATCTGAAAAACATAAACAGACAAATAAGAGGTCCCTGCTGCATGGTAAAGTCACAAGGATTAAATAAGGCAACTCGTAGAATGCTTGACTCAGGGCCTATGACACAGAAGGCACCCAGAAACAGGAAGTGGGATTTTGACATCCACCTCTACCCATCCAGGGTCCCCATCCAGGCCTTCACCTCTCTCACCTGGGTCCCTGAGCCAACCCCTCCACCAACTCCTCCAATCCCTGCTACAATCCTACAACTCCTACAATCCCTGCTACATCCTCGGATACCCTGCCCCATCAAGTCACAACAAAGTAACTCTCAGCACAAGCCTTATTCACAAAATCACCTGTCCACCATACTCTCCAAAGCTCAGCTCACAGGACCTCACATCCTGCCCAGGTGAATCCTTTCCTGGTGCAACCTTCTCAGCACAGATCTAGACCTGTGGTATAAATCATCTGTCTATTCACCCAGAGCCCCCACCACGGGGGTGAACAGAGGACAAGACCAGGGCAGACTCATGTGTCCCCACTCAATCTCTCAATTCAACAGATATTTAGTGAGTGCCAGGCACACTAGGGTGACACAAGGGCCCTGTCACATGTGAGACAGGGAAACAAGTAACCCACAGTTAGAAAGGACTCCCTGTGTGTCAGCCCCTACTCAAGGGCTTTCCCTGTCCTAGCCCACCTAATCCTCAGAGCACTTCCATTATCCCTGTTAAGAGTTGAGGAAATCCTTCACCAGCACATAGACCAACCTCTGATCTGGAAAATACAATCACAGTAGATAAGAGGGAGAGGACGAGGAGGCTCCATTGGGCAAAAAGAGAAGATGAGCTGTATCTGAGCCACTGCTCCATCCCTGGCCCTGAATCACAATCACGTGCCTTTCAGGCGATCTCTCCTTTACCCCTCACTAAAAAAATAACAACAGATAACACTTATCTACTACTTCACATCTATTGATCCTCTGATCATCCCCACGACCTTATGAGGTGATGCTGTTATTATCCCATTTCTGCAGATGCGGAAACTGAGGCTCAGAGGTTACATCACCTGCTCAAGGCCACACAGGTAGAAGTGGCAGAGCCAGAATTCCATCTGAGGTACCTGGCTCCAGAGCCCGAACTCTTAAAGAGCTCTCCAGAGACCTATCCTGTTTGCTGCCTCTCTCACAATCATACACATAAATACATAATTAAAAGACATCCTGAGAGCCAGGAGAGAAAATTACATAGAGCAAATTATAATTTAGATTGAAAGGATAAGACAGGACCTCTCTAGGAAATGACATTTGAAGTGAAATGTAAAGGAAACAAATAGGTTTAGACAGGAAAACAAGAGAAAGGGAAGAATGGCATTCCCAGAAGAGAGACGGGCACTCGTGGAAGTCCAGAAAGAAAATGAACTTGGGGCTCTCACAGGCCAAGGGGCCAGCATAGCCAGAACGTGATGGAGGAGAAGGGTACAGGGCAGAACTGGTGGTGGCTCAGGGAGTGTGGTCTCGCTCAGCAGCAGAGCACCACAGCTCTGGGGCCTCTGAAGGTAACCACACCTCTCTGTACCTCAGTGGCCTCCTCCGTAAAACAACGCTCACCCCAGCACCTGCTCTCACAGGGCTGCTGTGAAGATTACATGGCTGAATGCAAATAAACACTGAGGCCAGTGATTGGAATGCAGGAAGGACAGAGCCTCCAACTCAGAGGCAACTCCAGCTGCTCTGCGGAAGTGGCAAGTTGGCAGGAATAGGGTCAGGGCAACAGACAGACAAGGGCTGCAGGTGGCTGTCCAGGATGGGAACAGTAGAGGTAGAGAGAAGTGGATAGACTAGTCCAGGTGTGTCAGCGAGGGGCAAGGCCAGAAGGGCACCCAGCATCTATCTATGTGACCTAGGCTGGGGGCTGGCTGAATTGGTTCCACTTTGGCAGCTGTGGAGAAATGCTCCCTGCCCCTAATGGGTAGTGGGGAAGGCTATGCCTTTCTAGGGAGGAGAGTTGCTCCTACCTCCTGCACTCAGGTGGGTTCCAGTACCCTCCTGTCCCCCAACCCCACCTCACACCCCAGGAGGTCTCTCTTCTGGGACAGAATGGAACAAAGAGGGAAGTGGGAGGGGCTTCCTAGAGTGAGGTTCAAGGGAGCAGGCCCTGGGCTAGGTGCCAGACGCTATGCTGGGTGTGCCTGAGATGAGCCTCACTCAGGTCTTCCCTCTCAGAATTCCTAGTTGGGTGGCCTGGGGACAAAGAGAACCTGTCTCCTATGGCGCTGGTGGGGAGTTTCCAGCCTTGGTGAAGAGAGGCAGCCAGTATGCTTCAATGGAAAGACACCCCCTCCTGCCACAATGTGGCCAGCACTGCTCTCCTCTAAACAATGGAAGGACCCCTCCCCAGCCTCCTGCCTTCACGCCTGCCTCACTCCAGTCTCTTCCCCACAATACAGCCAGCATCATCATGTCAAATGCAAAGTTCTCAGCTCCTACTGAACGAATGAACTGAGGCAAAGAGAAGTTGCCGCCAACTTCAGAGAAAGATAAGAAGCCCTTGTTTGCTTCCTGATGGAAGAACACAATACCACCCAGGAAGTGAACTTGTAAAAAACAAAACATCAAACCAGAATCTGACCAAGCCTCTCCAGACCCAACCACAAATTTTCAGGAAATACAGATGACAGGGGAACACGTTAAATCAACTCTTCCACAGGATGCAATTGGCAAAATCCAATATTTGGAAAAAGCTGTAGGACAACTGCTTTCAATAAATAACGATGCAAGGAAGGAAAAGAGAGATGGCAGGGGAATCCTAGCAATTAGGAGACTTAAGAGAACCAGATACTTATGAGACATTTGAAAATTTGAGTACTGATTAGATATTTGATGGTAAGAAATTGTTGTTATTTTTTCTGGTGTGGTAATATTTTATTTTGTTTGTTTTTGTTTTTGTTTTTCCTTTTTTTGTCTTTTTTACTGACTGGTAACGGGATCGCAACCCTCGGTGTCGCGCCCGTACCGGGGACCGGCAAGGGTATCGCAACCCTCAGTGCTGCGCCCGCACCGTGCCCAGCCAGTGAACAGGAACCGGTCTCCACATGGGATCCGAACCCTCGGCGGGAGCGCCGCCGCGCTCCCAAGCGGCGCACTCTCCAGTGCGCCACCGGGCCGGCCCAGGTGTAGTAATATTTTAAGGAATTTTTATCTTTTATAGATACACAGTAGAACATGAACCATTGTAACTAACTCCAAAATAACATGGATGACGAGACAAGATCAGCCATGAGTTGACAACCACTGAAACTTAGGGGAGCTGAGGGTTCGTTATGATAGTCTATCTGCTTTGGTATTATTTTCCATAGAAAAAGTCCATAGAAAAGTTTGGGGAAGGAGAAAGCAAAGCGGATCCTGTCATTCAAATCCTCCAACTGTTTTCCTTAATTAAAAAAAAAAAATGCTAAACCCAGACCCATGGCTCACAAGGTCCTGCAGGATCTGCCTTGGTTACATCTCCTGTCCTCATCTCCTAGCAGTCTCCTCCTTGCTCCCTCCATTCCAGCTTCACCAGTTTCCTTGCCACCCCTGGCACTCTCCCACTCAGGCCCTTGCTCCTGTTATCCCTCTATCTGGGACACCCTTTCCCTGATATCTGAAATTGCTGTCTCTTGGCCTCCTCCCACCAGAACACAAGCTCAATGAGGGCAGGGGCCTCCCATCCCTGCTGTGCCTAGCACATAGTAAGCACTCTACAAATATAAGTGGAACAAGTAAATGAACAAATCCAAGTTTCAGCCCAGCTATGCCCCTGACACTCATTCTAGTGACTTCCTTTCCCTCAGCCTATTTCCACCTTAGCACAATGGGGGACGTCACCCCTACCTCAATGACTGTCTTGAGAATTCAAGGTCAGGTAAGTAACACGTCCAGCACAGTACCAGTGGACAACCCTAAGGAATGTGGAAACTCCAAGGTCCTGAGTCCAAGCCCTGGATCCCCAAGTTCCCCTCCCTCACACTCTCAGACACTTGGGAGTTTAGTCTAGTTCTATCCCTCAAACGAGGACAGCTGACTGCAGATCAACTCTCACAGGTGAGAAGGGGATAAGAATGGCAGGCTTCTTCCTCAATCAGGTCAGGAGGGGCCTCCTTCCACCCCGGCACTGGGCCTTGTTACTTCGTTAAGGCTAAGATACTGTAATGTGGTGGTAATTTCTGTAACACCAAGGTCAAAGGTTCGGATCCCCACACTGGCCAGCTGCCAAAAAAATCAAACAAAAAACCAACAACGAAAGCCATTCCCATTTTTCAGAGGGGAATACTGGGGCTCAAAGTGGGGGAGCCCCACCCTGCCTAGTGAGTCAGCAGTCAGACCTGCTCACCAGTCTCCCATCAAAACCCAGCCACACCCTGGCTAACTACCTCCTGGCCTCAGGGAAGAGACCTGAAGCCTTGCTTAGCCTGCTCCTGTCCTCCCTGAGGCAGTGACTCCCTTGCCTGCCCAGCCAGCCTGGTGGCTCTGGTAATTACTGCCCGACTGGGTATTTTGTGGTGGGGGAAATGGGGAGTCAACACCAGGCAGCCACCGTCTCAAGCCTGGAGCTGTCTGAGGACACAGGGCTGGCTCTATTGGTCTGTTCCTCCTGACGGCACCCAGTACAGGTATCTGCAGCTTCATCTACAAAGCATGCGTGACCCCCACTGCCTAGAGGGCCACGATGGGAACTAGGGGGAGCAGGGGCATCCACTCTGCAGGAGGAGGGAGGAAGCACACACTCTCCGCACCCTGCTTATATTTCCATCCCATCACGACAGCTCCTCCTGTCTCCTGATCAGCTTCCACATCAGCCTCCTTCCCTGAGCCCTTTCTCCTCTTTGGGCACCAGCCGTCAACCCGCTCCCCCCAAGTTACCCTTGAGGTACCCCAGGAAGCTGCTTCCTCACATCATTCAGTCTCAGCCCCCCCACAAGGGTGCTTTCCCGGCTTCAACAAAGTGCACTAGCTTTCTGTTTCTTCACAGCACTCATTAATAGCTGACGTTACATGATATACTGGTTGTTTACCAGTTACCTATTTCACCGACTATAATATAAACTTCTCCAGGCTGGGGACTTTCTCTACATGGTCCATTTCTGTGTCCTCAATACCTAGAACGGTGCCTGACATATAGACAATACTCATTAATAAAAATTAAGTGAGAGAATTAGCAAATGATCCCTTCCATGGCTCTCCCGATCCCTAGAATAGAGCCCAAACCTTCAGGGCCCCCCCCTGTCTCATGTTCCCGGGCTTTCACCCACAAAGCCCCTGCTCCTGACAGATTCAACCCTAATCACATCCCACTGTGGACATACAGTTCACTCTGCCAGGAATGCCATTCCCAGGTCCTCTGCTTCCTCAAGCTTATTCTGGAAGAGGCACCTCCACAGGGAAACGGGCTGGCCAGAGGTCTCCCCTATACACCCGAGTCCCTGTGCTCACACTACTTGTGATACCTGTCACACCAGCCTGGCTGCCACTTTCCTGGACTGTCTTCCCTGCAGCCTGGGAGCTCTGGAAGCTGGGACACCATATCTGATGTCCTCTGCATCCCCAGGCTTGCCTAACTCAAAGGAAGTACCAGAGATGGAGGGGGAGTGGGGGCCTATGGCTATGTCCTCCCCACAGGACCAGGTGAAATTTCTCAAAGGCAAGGCCTGAGCAGAGCCCCCAACCCACCCCGTCTGCAGTCAGCCCTATGTCCAAAATATTTTCTTAGCCCACTCCTCATCACCCTCTCCAATGTGACTATCCTAGGCCAGATCTCTGCCCTCTCCTTCTCCTTGGACTGCACAGCCTCTTCACTCATTTCCTTGCTTCTGCATTATTTAATCTTCTTAATATGCACCTAACAGAGCATATATTAGATGCTCAGCACCGTCCTAAGCACTTACAAACCCTAACTCACTCATTAACCCAGATGAGGTCAGAGTTCCATTTTTTTTTTTTTTTTTTTGCGCTGGCCGGTATGGGGATCCAAACCCTTGACCTTGATGTTATCAGCACCAAGCTCTACCAAGTGAGCTAAACAGCCAGCCTGACAATTCCTTTAAAAAGAGGTATCAGGGGGCCGGCCCGTGGCTCACTCGGGAGAGTGCGGTGCTGATAACACCAAGGCCGCGGGTTCGGATCCCATATAGGGATGGCCGGTTGGCTCACTGGGTGAGCGTGGTGCTGACAACACCAAGTCAAGGGTTAAGATCCCCTTACCGGTCATCTTTTAAAAAAAAAAAAAAAAAAAAGAGGTATCAGATCACGTCCCTGCCCCGCTTAAAAAGAGAGCTTAATAAATGGAATAATATCCAAACTCCCACCTGCCAGGCCCAGCTGCTCGGGCCCCTGCCCAGGCCCATACCTGCTCCCCACTCTCTGTTCATGGCACTCATCATTGTCTAAAGTACCTTCAGTTTCATGGCTCTGTCACTGGACTAGAAGGTCAGCTCCACAGGGCAGAGACCTCAATGCTGCATTCCCACCCCAAGCACAATGAATAGGAACAGTAACAGTGTGACTGACAGCAAACTCTCACATTTCATATGTCTGAGTCCAGGCATATTCCAAGCATATTACATGGGGTAACTCGTTTTCTCTCACAACCCTAGATGGGAGATACCATTATCAGCCTCATTTCACAGTTGTGGAAACTGAGGCACAGAGAGGTTTATTCCCCTGCCCAAGGTCAGCTTATTTAAGTGCCAAGGCCAGGATGTGAATCAGGCAGCCTGACCCAGGGTCCTTGTTTTTTTTTCTTTACCTTTGTGATATTCCACCACTGCACAAGAAGTGATTGTCCACTAAGTAAAGCCCTGCAGATGTTTGCTGAATAAAGAAATGAAATTGGGGAAAGGGGTTGTCAGGGTAGGCTTCCTGGAGGAGGTAGCACATGATCTGATCCTTTAACTATGGTAGGATATAGAAAAGCAAGATGGCAGTGGAAAGAACAAGAATTCCACTGTGCTCAATGAGTAGATAAGAGTTGCTGCCCATCTGCCAGGTGTGTCACACCCCAAGCAGATTTCTCCCACCTTCTGACTCTACAGCTTGCCCTGGGCACCATACATGCACTACCAAGGCCCACAGACACCTACCACAGGTCACTTTGCCTTCTGACACAGGCCCAGCCTGCTCCTGCTGGGGAGTGGCTGGGCCCCCTCTCCTCCGCCTTCTGGCACCACCACTGGGTCGGCCCCGACTCCGCCGCTGCCGCTTGGTAGGGGAGGAGCCTAAGGAGAGACAGATGGGGCAGGCTGAGGACCAGGATGACAGGTGGATGCCCAGGTGGGTACCAAGGGAAGAGCTCAAGGCTGGTCTCAGTGCTATGAGCCTTTGGGTGAGCCCCTCTGCTTCCCTGCCTCAGTGGCCCTGTCTAAATGACAAGCATCATCTAGAAGGGCAGACAAGCACACCCCACCACCCAGGAGGCCCACTCCAGCTCTGACCCTAGAAAATCCCCTGCACACACACACCAGGAGACACACATGACAACAGCCACTAGGCATCATTTATAATAACAGAAATAAATAATTTGTGAGTCTAAAAAAGAGAGATGGTGGAGAGTAGGAAAAAAGGAAAACTCCACTTGATATAATTCCAGCTAACAAAGCTAGAAAAAAGAAAAAAATTAGAAAATCATTTTACAGGGGCAGGCCCGTGGCTCACTCAGGAGAGTGTGGTGCTGATAACACCAAGGCCACGGGTTCAGATCCCATATAAGGATGGCCGGTTAGGTCACTGGGTGAGCGTGGTGCTGACAACACCAAGTCAAGGGTTAAGATCCCCTTACCGGTCATCTTTAAAAAAAAAAGAAAAGAAAAGAAAAAAAATCATTTTACAAACACCACTGTGGTAACTGGTTCCGGCCGGGATCACCAATGGATGCTAAACCTACTGGGTGAATGGTTATTAGGAACAAGATGAGTCAAAGTATCATCCCATAGATTGTTTCTTAACCATAACAGGTAAGAAATGTCCCTTTACGATGGACAAATATGGCAGACATCACCTTAACCAAATGATCAAACTTTCCCATACACAAAGGGAAAATACCCTACACATGCCTCGTAATGTGCTCTAACACAAAGCAGACAGCATCAACCAAGGAGTATTCCTGCCAAAAACATGTAAACCGAATCTTACGAAGCCTCCAGACACAATTTCCACTTAGCAGGAAATATAGGAGAAAGAGAGACAAGTTCAATGACACCATCAAGAAATAATGAGACAGATCCAGAAATAATTGGGATCTACAAAACTACTGGCCTGAGGGCCAGCCCGCGGCTCACTTGGGAGAGTGTGGTGCTGATAACACCAAGGCCACGGGTTCAGATCCCATATAAGGATGGCCGGTTAGGTCACTGGGTGAGCGTGGTGCTGACAACACCAAGTCAAGGGTTAAGATCCCCTTACCGGTCATCTTTAAAAAAAAAAGAAAAGAAAAGAAAAAAAATCATTTTACAAACACCACTGTGGTAACTGGTTCCGGCCGGGATCACCAATGGATGCTAAACCTACTGGGTGAATGGTTATTAGGAACAAGATGAGTCAAAGTATCATCCCATAGATTGTTTCTTAACCATAACAGGTAAGAAATGTCCCTTTACGATGGACAAATATGGCAGACATCACCTTAACCAAATGATCAAACTTTCCCATACACAAAGGGAAAATACCCTACACATGCCTCGTAATGTGCTCTAACACAAAGCAGACAGCATCAACCAAGGAGTATTCCTGCCAAAAACATGTAAACCGAATCTTACGAAGCCTCCAGACACAATTTCCACTTAGCAGGAAATATAGGAGAAAGAGAGACAAGTTCAATGACACCATCAAGAAATAATGAGACAGATCCAGAAATAATTGGGATCTACAAAACTACTGGCCTGAGGGCCAGCCCGCGGCTCACTTGGGAGAATGTGGTGCTGATAACACCAAGGCCATGGGTTCAGATCCCCTTACCAGTCATCTTTTTTTTTTTTTTTTTTTTTTTTTTTTTTTTTTTTTTTTTTTTTTTTT